TTCAAGCTTAAAGGCTATTAAACTGAGCTATTCCCCATCTCCCTCATATTGCCCGGGCTATAGAAAAAGGCAATAATTTGTTTATAAGATGTCATTTGGCACCAGGCAGAATGCTTTCTGGTCAAATACATACATAATCTCATTGAGGGGTTGAATTAAATCATTGAGAAGCCTCTGTGTTTTCAGTAAACAAACCAATCTTGGAAAACATTTAGGCAAATGAGTTAATCATGGATTCAAAAAATGCTGAAGGCAGGAACCAAATGTTTTTGAATATAAATGAAAGAATATTGTGATTTCAAAAAGCACAGAAAAACAACAAAAAATATAGCAATTTAGAGAATGTTAATTAACACACTTCATTAACATGCCTAAAGTTGTTCTCGGCTTTGACTTTGCTCACAGAGGCATTTATGAATTCTTATGATGAACAAAAAGAGACATCCGCATATGACCTTTTGTTTTAAAGATGCACTTTGTTTATTGACAAGTTGCATATATGCAGCATCACACAAATGCAATATGCATTTTAGTTAGCAATGCAACTGTAAAAGTTAACTTTTTTAAGTGTTCAAAAACAGGAAGGTTATTGCAATTGGACTGGTCATATTTTATGTGACTGTAAGCTTTTTTTTTTTAAGTGTTATTCATTTCTTTACGAGTAAAACTTTTTGAAAATAAAGAATAAAAAGTACTAAGTGCTTCTTTAAAATCACACACTGTTTAATCATGTTTAATTGCTGTCCTTGTTGACATTTCTGAGGGTGGACAAATGCGGTGAAACTATTCAATATATAGATAAAGAGCCACAAAATCACACAGACAATGAATATGACTACAAAAATAAAGCACTTCATTTATATTATGGTTAGTAACCATAAAAATGAAGTTGGATAACATTGGTTACCAAGCAACTAATAATTGAACTGAACATTTGCTGAGTTTTAGATGATTATGTTTAGAAACAGAACCTTATGACTAAGGATTACTAAGGAAGAAAAAACAGCAAGTGAGAGAGTGTGAATGGGCAGATGAAAAAGGAATGTCTACAGAAACAGTGTGTAAAATATTCAAGAAGACATCACCAGAGCTGGATTGTGTTATTGGACTAATGAGGACGTCTAGGGCATAGCTGAAGATCTGGAATTAGAACAGCCACAAGCACCTACTCAGTTTTTTTTCCCTGTGAAGTTCTGATGAACTGTCATACTCAGTACGCCAAGCATTCAAACCAAACAAACTCTGTGCTTCGTGCTCCGTGCACGTAACCGTGCAACCATGTTGGTATAAGAAGAAATGTATCTTTTTAACACAGGGGAATTCTGAGAACCATCATTACGCTGATGTTAATGAGTGTCTATGTGTGGATTAGCTTGCAGTAATTACTTCCCCCTCTGGTTATTTCTTGCAGAGGGATTCTGAATAACAAATCTGTTATAAAGTTCACCATAGTTGTGTTCTTTCTGAGATACAGAGACATAACAATAGCATTAGGATACAAGACACCAATGTTCAATATAGAATTATTACCAATTATCAGAACAAATTTCACCCCCAAATAACATTGTTCATTAGACTGACAATAGGTTATTTGCAGTTGTGGTTGCTGAGCAAAGTGACAAATATTGGCAATTTCACACAGACTTCATGAAATTAAATGTATTAATTTAGAATTTAATGGCAATTTTTTTATGTGCGTGTGTATGTGTGTGTGTGTGTACCTGGTATTCATTACGTTATGGGGACCAAATGTCCTCACAAGTATAGTAATACCAGTAAATTTTGACCTTGTGAGGACATTTTTTTGGTCCCCATGAGGAAACAAGCTTGTTTCACACATGCATTCATAATTATATATAAAGACATATAGATAGAAAGATGATAGGTAGATAAAGAATAAATATATATGAAAAAATAAAAGTTCAGGGGAAAAGAATGTACATAAATTGAAAAAAATATACAGCATAATTTTATCATCTTCCCTGTACATTTAAGATTTTTAATTGGACTAATTATATTCACATCAGATAATGGCTGTCAGTCAGGTTGGTCCATGAGCCATTGAAAATACCAATGCAATATTTAAATGCGTCTTTTCATGCACCACACACACAATAGAAAGTCAAGTCAAGTCACCTTTATTTATATAGCACTTTTAACAATACAGATTGTGTCAAAGCAACTGAACAGCATTAATTAGGAAAACAGTGTGTCAATAATGTAAAATGACAATAGTAAACACTTGAAATTCTTCATAGAGATAATTTTTTTGCAGGAAGGAGCACAATTGAGCAGACACAACTTTTTCTAAAATTTTAGACATAAAAGGAAGATTTGAGATGGGTTTGTAATTTGCCAGTTCATTAGGATCTAGTTGTGGTTTCTTAATAAGAGGCTTAATAATAAAGCCTTAGCCTAATGTGTAGAGTGCATTAAAAAGTGTCTCGTCCATATCTCGCTGCCAGTGCTTCGCCCAGACGGTGCAGTCAATAAGAGCAGAAAAACAGGCACTGTCATAGACTCTGGAATTTCACATCAGTAGCAGGGCCGTGGAGTGCGCTGGATGGAGTGAAAATCTAAGCAGAGTAATTCATGCTCAAAAATGGCAGTGCCTCCTACTCCCCCTAATTTTCTCCCCACTCTTTGGAATGCAGAACGAACCGGCAAAATCTGCTGGCAGAGTTATAAAGTGAATGCACTATTGGTGTAGATTAACGTAATGATTTCCCCAATTGCCAACTGTCACCAAATAAAGAATGAGATGCCAATTACAAATAGAAACCGAATTAACATTCTTCACCATTGTTCATCTCATTCCTGCTGTAATCAGATTAATCTCAGGGCCAGTTTGCAGAGGTGCATTAGTATTTTAGATTTTCTGATTTTCTGATTTCATGATATTTTTCAGACTAGCACCTGTAAATGCTGAAATTGCATCACGTCCCCATCTAAAACAGTTATTATCTGAAAAGGCATTTAGTGAGAACGATGTACAGAAACTTAATAAAAAGTTTCTGTGACCTTACATAAACTAAGTAAATGTGCTGCAATGCTTTACCACCTGGCCTCCCACCTAGAACTATCAAGCCCTTTTCAGACGATTTAGAACACAGCAGCATGTCTGATCCTCAACCAGACCAAGAAAACCCACGTTAGACCCCTCCTGTTTTTTTTTTATATACATTGGCTGCTCATAGCTGCCAGCATCAAAGTTGCTTTTTAAAAGCTTCAAACTATCTGTTCCTTTTCACATTTCACTTTTAGTTCAATCTGTAAAACGTGACAAAA